TATTTAATCTACACACTTTTTGTTTGATATCAAGTAGAGTCAGGAGAGGTATCATATATACTTCCTCATTAAGCTTTCCATGAAGAAAAGTATTGTCAACATCTAATTGATGTAAATGATACTATTTAGTAGCTATAAGAGCAAGAAAGAGTCTCATAGTAGTAAGTTTAGCAACATACGATAAAGTGTAAAGATAATTTATTCGCTCTTAGTTGTATGTATTCCTAAGCAACAAGACGGGTTTTGTATCTTTCAATGTTAGCATCCACTTTTCTCTATATCGTATACATTCATGTACACCCAATAGGTGTTTTATTAGATAGAAGATTAGTAATATGCAAATTGTTGTTTTCTTGTAAAGCGTTAATCTTCTCGACAACAATCCATTTAGGTTGTTTACATGCTTCAATATAAGTGTGAGGCTCAATGTTAGAAGATATAACTAAAGTATGTTAAAGATGTTCTTTTAGAAAGATTTTCTTAGGTTAAAACAAATGGTATTAGATATCTTATTTTATTTTTAAAAATAATTTTATTTTAAGATGAAACAAAATTGTTGACCTGATGATAATCCTTCAGAAAATTTTTCATTAAAATTGTTGCTATTATTTAATTTTTTATATGGAAAGGTGTTTCATAAAAGATTACATTTCGACTTATAAAGATTTCTCTACTTCTTGTATCAAGAATAATGTAACCTTTAATTTTAGTTTTAGAGTCAAGAAAAACACACTTCCTAGATTTGGGTTGTAGTTTGGTTTTGTTTCCTTTTAAAGTACAAAGATATAAAAACCTTCATATTAAGATAGGCTGGAGAAATTTTATAAAATAATTGATAGGGAGATTTTCCATTAAGAAAATAGAAGGCAACCTATTATCAATCGAATAGTGTGGGCAACAACATAGGACCAATATGCATTAGGCATGTTAAATTGGAAAAAGAAGACTTCTAGTAATATTTAACATGTGTTGATGTTTTCTCTCAATAATAGAATTTTATTGAAAAGTTTTAACATAACTCTTGATAATGCCAAATTTTGTGTACAAATCAGTGTAATCAAACTCTATTCCATTATATGTTTCAATGGTTTTAATGTTATGATTAAACTGGTTTTTAACATATATGACAAAATTTAGTGATAGAGGATTAGTCTTGCTTTTACTTTTCATAAGAAAAACCCATGTTTGCCTAGTTTTATCGTCCACAATAGTTAAAAAGTATTTATGTCCATGAATAGAAGAAATAACAATAAATCCTCATATATCAATATGAATTAAATAAAAAACATTCTTGAAAAGGAAATTTATGTCATTTATATCACAAGCCTTTTTAGAAATGGGATGTATATAAGAAAATCGTTTACAAATATTTATAGTCTTATCAAGAGGGTGTCCTAACCTAAAATGTCATATGATAAGGTTAGACTTTTTAGAGTTCAACATAGAATTATCAGAAAAATTATTTTTCATGAACATTAGAAGTATCTTGAAGATAATACAATTCATTGCTTAGCTCAACATGACAAATCATCTTGTATGAAGAATGGTCCTGCATATCACATATCTCATGAGAATAGATGAATCTACAACTTAAATCTTTGATTAAACTTTGAATAAATTTGATATTGAAAATAAAATTAAGGATGTAAAGAATATTAAAAATGATAAAATTCTTGGAAAGTCAAACAATTCTAACATTGTGAGCAGTCACAGAAGAATTATTAGGAAGTTTAACAGAAATTGACTTGATTTTATAAAAGGTAGACAAATGATCTTTTGTATGTGTGAAATGGTTTATAAACACCCATATATAGGATCCAATAATTACATGTATGTGTCTCAAAAATAGTAGATTCATCTCTTTATTTTTGAATATGACTGATGTTGTGGATTGATGCTTTATGAAGAAGTTTTAAGAGCTTTTGAACTTGGTTAGGAGTAAATGAATTACCACTTTTTTTTGAAATCTTGGTTGTCATTATTTACATTTAAATTGTAAGTATGATGTCCTTCTTTATGCCTTTTAGCAATGTTATTATAATTATCGTTTTTAAACTTGTACCAAGAAGGAAAACCGAGGTTAGCATAACACTCGTCTAAAATATGATTGTCTTATTGCAGTAGAAACATTGTTTTTTTTTTGTGCTTGACTTCTTCCTCTACCTTGGCTGGGCCACCCAATTCCTCTACCTCGATGTTTCCAAACATTATGTTTGTAAGTAGCATCTGAAAGCATTTTACCTTCAATAGTTAACTGTCTTTTGTACTGAATCACTAGAGAAAAGACTTTGTTGATACTTAATAGGGGTTCCATCAACAAAGCTTGAGACTTGATGATGTTATAGGTCATTCTAATTCTTTCAAAAAAACATATGACATATTCAAAATTTTTGTATTTAGCAAAGATTTTGGATACCTTGCAATTGAAATTCAGCTAGGTATAGGTCTAAAAAATTCTAATTCTTCCTAAAGGGTTTTTTAAATTGATAAAAAATTGTATGATACTCCTTTGCTTGTTGGAGTGAATTTCTTAGAACATGTCAGAAATTCTTAAATAATCTTCTTTAACAAATTTTTCTTTTAAATCTTCCCAAATATTTTTGGCATTTTCAATAAATATGGTGCTCTTTACAATATGTGAAGACAAGGTTCTTGTGATCCAACAAAGAACCATTATATTACATCTTTCCAATGTTTCAAAATTTTTATCATCACTTTGTGAAACAATAATACTTCCATTTATGAACTTGATTTTATTCTTTGACAAAAAAACATATCTTATACTTTTACTTCAAGAAGAATAGTTGATCTCATGAAAACAAGAACTAAGCTTTGATTTTCTCCAATATACTCATAGTAAAGACTATTTGGATTAAATAATTGTCCATTGTGACAACTAATACGGTATTAGGTTCAATATTAGATGAAGCCATATGAAAAAAATAAGAAAATAAATAATAACAAAGAAAATATATAGCATAACATAATACACCCTTTGATATCACATTGAATATAATATACAACTTCAAGAATAGAGCTTATTTTGCCAAAGAACTTGTTGAATCAGTAAATCAAGAAGAACAAGCAGATTATACATCTACAGAAGAAAGAAAAGAACAAAGAACATTGAAAACAAACGATATTTATGAAAATCTGACTATAATGAAAAAGTTACAAAATACAATTTTAAATCTATCTTAAATAGATTTTGTTTGAAACTAAATAATTGAAATCAATTCCCCTAAAATTTTAACAAAGAACCCTAATCATTATGCATAATATTATGTTCTCTTTTTTTAGTTCATTTTTTTTATTATGTTTTAATTAATCTTTATTTTAACTCTGGTTATTTGGACTTCGGTTTTAATTTAACAAAACTATTGCAAATTTTCCTTTAACATGTTTTATAAATATATAAAACAACATTTTTTTTATTTGAACCTTAAAATATAATCGATTATTATTTACACTGTTAACTGGGACGGAGAGAGGGATTGGTAGGACCATGATCTCTCATTTTTTTTTATTAAAAAATTATGAGTTCTAAATAATTATTTGTTTCAACTCATTCTCTAAAAAATAATTTTCTAATTCTACCACTATGATTTATATTTAACTATTATTGTCTGCTAAAAATATTATTTTTAAATACGATTGAACTGCACCACTAAATCACTATTTTTTTTTTCATCTTCATTTGTCTTTATCTATGATCTCTGTTCATGTTTTTTATTCTCATCCGACCGAACTATTTTCTTCTATCTGAGCTTAAACAAGCGTAGAACAAGTCTTTATCTGTCTTTGTCTTTTCACCATTGTTCAGTTGTGATGAACACATACCAAAAGTGACATGCTTATTATACTACTGCTTAAAGTGTCATTGTTGATAAATTTTGGTTAATATATATATATATATATATATATATATATATATATATATATATATATAAATGTGTTAAGACTATTATTTATTAAGTTAAATAATAAATTGATATGGTTAAATTAAAGTTTTGACTAAAGATAGATGTCATAAAAATAAAATTGTGTATAGATGATTGAGTAATTTCTAATTTAATAAGAGACCAAATTAAAAATACTAAAATTAAGTAATTAACATAATTCTGATTATTTAAAGGGTTATGATCCGATAAGCACATACATAAAACATAAATTTTAGTTCCTTTTTTTTCTATCCCCATCAAAAAAGAAAATAAAAAAAATAAAATATAAAAAAATCATAAAATCAATATTGCTCTAAAAGGACATTATCATCATAACTAATTTAAATACAATTTTATTTTTAATTTATATTATATTTATAAATATAAGATAATATTTATATTTCATCAAATTAAGATTATAATTATTATTAATTTTATATCATTTTTAACAATAATTTCAAACCAACCCTGTGACAAACCGACAACGTTATGAGTCAGTGGCCATACTATACTAGAATCTTATCCTTGTTGGTCACGTATCCTTGGTCACCAAGGATGTGATATTATTGACTTTTCTTCTACCTTTATAAAGGAAAAAACAAAGATATTAGAGTATTAATTCAAAATATTACTTAAAAAATGATTTAAAATAAACAAGATGAGTTTGGTTAATATAAAAAAATTAGAGAGTTTAAATTTTGGAGGAAATCACAATAAAAAATTGCTTTAAAGAAACTAAGATAAATAATTATTTATTTTTATAGACAAGAAAAATAACAGTTTAAGAAAATGATTTTCTTTTTCCTTATTTTTGTCTGAATTATGCAGAACCATCTACTAATATTCTTATCCATGCAGACCTATACAAGATATTATATACTTCATACAAAAAAGCCATCCTTTTGGTCCAAATACAGTTTCTACCATTATTCTAAACAAAAATGACATCATTTTGGTCAAACCATGTGGCCTTGCACAGAATCCAAGACACATCTTCTCCCTATAAAAGCAGAGAGAAAAAAAAAAAGTTTTAAGGCATTCATTCCACCATAAGCAAAAATGGACTTTCTCCAAAATTGCTTAACCTTAAACATCACTACTTTTATTGTATCCTTCCTTTCTCTAAACTTCATATTTTTCTATCTGTATCGTAGAAATTCTCGTGGAAAACAGGCTCCAATAGTGAAAGGTGCATGGCCAATACTTGGTCATCTTTCACTGCTAAATGGATCACAAACACCACATAGAACTTTGGGTGCTTTGGCTGACAAGTATGGACCATTGTTCACCATCAAGCTAGGTGTGAAGAAGGCTTTGGTGGTCAGCAACTGGGAAATGTCCAAGGAACTCTTCACCACAAACGACCTTGCGGTTTCATCACGCCCCAAACTCGTTGCCGTGGAAGTCATGTCATACAACCAAGCTTTTATAGGGTTGTCACCATATGGACCCTATTGGCGAGAGCTTCGAAAGATTGTGACTTTAGAGTTTCTCTCCAACCGCAGAATAGAGAAACTCAGCCACATTCGTGTCTCAGAGGTTCAAACCTCACTCAAAGAGCTCTTCAATTTGTGTTATACTAGCGTAAACAAGAAGGAGAATGAATCTAGTTACGGTACTACTACTTTGGTGGACATGAAAGAGTGGTTTTCACATTTGACTTTCAACATGGTAGTGAGGATGGTGGTGGGGAAGAGGTACTTCGGTGTGGTGCATGTGGAGGGAAAGGAGAAGGCAGAAAGTTTTATGAGGAACATAAGGGAGTTCATGAATTTGATGGGGACTTTCACTGTGGCTGATGGGGTTCCTTGTTTGAGGTGGTTGGATTTAGGGGGCCATGAGAAGGCCATGAAAGCAACGGCTAGGGAAATGGACAAGCTTTTGAGTGAGTGGTTGGAGGAGCACCAAGAGAAGAGGGTTAAGGGCGATCGAGACTTCATGGATTTGATGATTTCAGCACTTAATGGGGCTCAGATTAATGGGTTTGATGCTGACACCATATGCAAAGCCACTACCCTGGTAAGTAGTATATGATATATTTAAATAGTGTGAATGAATTGTGATAATTTAATACTAATGATATCCTGCGATTAATAAAAAATAGTACACACAAGGAAATTCTATTAAAAGGTTGAACATATACAGTATTTCCACTTTATTTCTTTGTTTTTAATTAGAGGATCTTTTGATAACGCTTGAACATATTTGCAGGAATTGATTTTGGGTGGAACTGATTCAACTGCTGTTACTCTTACATGGGCACTTAGTCTGCTATTGCGAAATCCTCTTGCAATGGAAAAGGTTAAAGAAGAAATTGACATGAATGTTGGCAAAGATGGATACATAAGAGAGTCAGATACAAGCAAACTCGTGTATCTTCAAGCTATAGTTAAAGAGACATTAAGATTGTATCCACCAGCACCTCTTTCATCACCTCGTGAATTCACAGAAAATTGCACCTTAGGTGGCTACCACATCAAAAAGGGAACTAGACTTTTGCATAACTTGTGGAAGATCCACAGAGATCCTAGTGTTTGGTCCGATCCATTAGAATTTAAACCAGAAAGGTTCCTCACCACTCACAAAGATGTTGATCTTAGGGGTCACCATTATGAGTTGTTACCCTTTGGAAGTGGGAGAAGAGTTTGTGCTGGAATGTCCCTTGGCTTAAACATGGTCCATTTCACTTTGGCTAATTTGTTGCATTCCTTCGACATATTGAATCCTTCGGCTGAACCTATTGACATGACTGAGATATTTGGATTTACCAACACTAGAGCTACTCCACTTGAGGTTTTGGTTAAACCACGTCTATCTCCAAACTTTTATGAACATTAATAATCCTTATGTTTAGTATTCTGCATGGTTCTAAATCATGGGAATGATCGCGGTAGGTAGCAATTTCGTCACAAACCTTGGCATTGCAGGTGTGCGCAAATGCAACCGATGTGATTGTGATGAGTTAAAAAACCTTTATTTGCAGTTGCTAACTGCAGTTTGAAACTATGGTTTGTGCTCTATTATTTTATGTATTTTTGAATAAATGCCTCATTGAGCATTGTAATAGTTATGTAGTAGTTGTCGTCCATCAATAGATATGTTCTCTGTTTTGAAGTTCTGTTAATACTTTTCCTCATATTGAATGGATTTGTGACTTGTAAGTTGTAATGCATCATTTTTAATACTTTCATATAATATTTAGTAGGAATATAAGGATCAAAACTGCAAAACCCATAATTGAAGCTTAATATTGAATTAGGTATTTAATCATCAATAATATAATATCAAAATTAACTTTAATAACGTTGACAGATATAAAAAAAATATAATAAAATTTTATATGAGATGTAGAAATACAATAATATTATAATATATATTTAATCAATTTTATAAGATTGAATTTATCTCCTCCATACTTTCTAACAGTTTTGTATGATCTGAAAAGTGGTGGCATTGAGAGTGCCACACAGTGAGAATATTAGAATCCAATTTATGCCAAGCCAAGCATGGTCTACGCATACAACATCTTATCTTAAGATAAAATGATTCTAAATGTCTCAGCTATTGGACTTATTTCTCTAGTCCTCTTCTGCTTCCTTTTGTATCACCCCTTCAGATTTTCTCAAGGAAAAGAGGCTCCCACAGTTGCAGTGCATGGCCAATACTTGGTCACCTTCCATTGCTGAGTGGTTCAAAGACACCCCGTAGAACTTTGGGTGCTTTGCTCGACAAATATGGACCAATATTCACCGTCAAACTTGGTGCAAAAAAGGTTTTGGTAATCAACAACTGGGAAATAGCAAAGGAACGCTTCACTATTAATGACAAAGTCGTTTGCTCTCCCCCCAAGCTTGCTGCCATTGAACACATGACCTACAACCAAGCAATGTTTGGCTTTGCGCCCTACGGTCCCTATTGGCGACAACTAAGAAAAATTATAATTTCTGAGATCCTCTCCCCGCATCGAGTGAATCAACTACGGCATACTTTTGAGTCAGAAGTTCAAGGTTCGATCAAAGAGCTCTTTAACTTTTGGTGTGGTAGCAAAAGGAATGAGTCTGGCTATGTATTGGTGGAGTTGAAGCAATGGTTTTCTCATTTGATGTTCAACATTGTTCTTCAAGTGGTCATAAGGAAGAGATATTATGGATGATGAGAAGGCACAGAGATGTGTGAAGGCTGTGGAGGAGTTCATGCTTTTGCTAGGGGTGTTCACAGTGGGAGATGCTATTCCTTGGTTGAGATGGTTTGATTTTGGAGGCCAAGAAAGAAACTGCCACGGAATTGGATAGTATTGGAGGTGAGTGGTTAGATGAACATAGACGAAACAAGGCTTCAAGTGAAAAGGTTGATGGAGTTCATCAAGATTTCATGTACGTGATGATTTCATTGCTTGATGGAAACACAATTGATGGGATAGATGCAGATACCTTGATCAAATCCACTGTACTGGTATGTATATATGTTCATGCATATGTATTGACATGGCCGAAACCTTTGGATTAACCAACACCAAAACCACTCCCCTTGAGATTCTTATTAAACCACGTCTATCTCCTATTTCTTATGCATAATGTTTATGTGTAAGTTGTGTGAACTTCATGTATGAATAAGGTGATTCATGTTAAACTATGTTATCTGTTTTTCTTAAACCAGTATGGTTTGTCTTGTAAAATATTTCGAAACTGTGTTTTGTTGTTTTGTGGTATCTCTTCTGGCACAATAATGACATTGATAATTTTAGCACTCTCTGAGTCAAATTGGATGTTTGTCATAATAGTTACAATATATCCTTGCTATCAGTTCATTTTGATAATGCTTATACTCTTTACTACAATTTTTCAATAATCTATTGACTGCTAATCTACTAATTGCTCTTACTATTTGTACAATATCTGTATCTTGTAAAAACCATAGTATTCATATAATTTCCTATCATTGATGCACAATAGTACTTAAGAAATTTTTATGCTTCTTTTTTCATTAATAGGACTCATAATTGAAAATAACTTGATAGAAAATAGGGTAGAACTTAACTTATACCCTTGTACATTGAAATACTGCAAGACCTTCAATAAGTAATTCTTTTTATAAAATCAAATCTTTTTATCTTTTTTGTCTTGATGAATTTCTATTCATAAAATCTTGTTTTTTAGTATCTAGTTCTTCATATCAGACTTCCTAACCAACTTTTTAACCAACTGTGGTTTTAAAAATTGGATTAGAACTTTGTTGGAGACTATCACTAACATATCATCCACGTACTAGATAACAAAATCATTATCACTAACATATCATCCACATAGTCAAAGAAGCTTTTAGATTGTATCCTCCTGGTCCTCTCAGCACCTCGTGAATTTTTGGAAGATTGTACTTTAGGTGACTATCATATCAAAAAAGGAACTCAACGAATTACAAATCTTTGGAGGATATAGCGTTTGGTCAGATCCATTGGAGTTCAAACCAGAAAGGTTTTTTACTACTCGCAAAGATATTGACGTTAGGGGTCATCATTTTGAGTTATTACCATTTGGAAGTGGCAGAAGAATTTGTCCTGGAATATACTTTATAGCCTTCAACTAGTGCATTTAACTCTTGCTACTTTTTAGCATTCTTATGATATTTTTAGCTCATCTGATCCTATTGATATGAGTGAAACCTTTGGATTAACCAACACTACAACCACTCCTCCTGAGATTCTTATTAAACCATGTTTATCTCCTAATTGTTATCAAAATAACTAATTATATGAAAACAACTTATCATTCGGTTGGCTATGATCATAGATTATACATGCTATGTTTTTAGTTTGTCTCGTAATTACATGCTATATCTGTTGTTTACTTTTGTAATTTCACTCCTTTGCGCTTTCTAAGTTGACGATACTCAAATAGAAGAGAAACAATTTAGGGTTAGGTTTTAAGAGTTGATTTGATTAGAAATAGAAAACAGAAAAACATAAAAGATACCGTAGGTGCCACAAATAAGAATATTTGATAAGCCAAGAAGGATCGCCACAAGAATTAGATAATTCTTGATAAGATCAAATGATGCAAGGAAGAACCCTAGCAGAGCAACAACTCACAAAGTAATCTGAATATTACGTACGTTCATTCTGAATTTCCAAATGTTTAATACAACTTAAGTTTATGAGTTTGTCTCATTGTAGGAAATAAAGATAAATTAAAATCTTAATATCTCAAGCAAAGTTAAGTTGCTCAGATGGTTCAATGAAGGCATTATAAGCTTTGAGTCTTGGGTTCAAATCCTCACTGTAGCAAATAAAATAATAATAATAATAAAAACTAAATCTTTTAGTTGGGGGCCTTCTAGCTCTCCAAACATTCTATGCATGTGATAAGTCTAGACTCCTCCATGTTTGGATCTTTTAATAGTTGGGCCTTTAGCAAATTGGTAACTTTGTATTGCAATACCTCTTGTGTTTTTCTGAGCCTGCCTCTTGTCATAGGTCCACCTAAGTCTTGGATTGGATCTTGGTCTTGATCCTTCTCGTTATGGGCTTGGACTTTTATGTCCACATCATTTCCTCCTTCTTGGACAACATTTGTCCTCAAATCTATGAATTCATCTCCCCACAAGGTCCTCCAAAAGTGACTAAGGAATTTTGAATCCCTATCACTCGCAATGCTCCTCGGCAGCCCATGTAGCCTTACTACTTCCTTGAAAAACAAATCAGCCACATGACAAACATCATCTACCTTCTTGCAAGGTATGAAATGTACCATCTTAGAAAACCTATCAACAACAACAAACACATAATCCTTTCCATTCTTTGTTTTAGGCAGCCCGTGATGTTATTGATAGCTCTACAATCTGTGCACATCCTCCAAGTTCCATCTTTCTTAGGGACTAGAATGACTGGGACTGCACATGGACTCAAGCTTTCTTTAACCCACCCCTTTTGTATTAAGTCTTCAACTTGCTTTTGAATCTCCTTGGTTTCTTGGGGATTGCTTCGATAGGCTGGTCTATTAGGCAATGAAGCTCCTGGAATAAGGTCAATTTGATGCTCAATACCCCTAAGAGGGGGTAGACCTATAGGCACTTCTTTGGGAAAAACATCTTCAAAATCCTACAACAAAGAAGAAACATCTTTTGGAAGAGAGTTAGTAAAACATGAACTGTTTGATTTACTTTCTTTACTCAAAAGTAAAAGTATTGGTTTTCTCAATTGCATAACTCTTTTGACTTCTTTTTCTTTTATAAACAGATTTGATTTTTTTTTCTCTTTCTCTTTTTCTTCCTCTTTTTCCTTTTTCTTTTCACTCTCTTTTTCTTTTCTCTTTTCTCTCTCTTTTTATTTTCTTTCTTCTTTTATTTTCTTTCTCATTTTCAGTTAATCCTCACTAACTTCTCTTGGAACCAAAGGTGCAAGATTAGTTTTGCGGTCTTTATGCATAAAAGAGAACTTATTAGTAAAACCATCATGCATAACTCTCCTATCATACTGCCATGGTCTCCCAAAAAGTAAATGACAAGTCTCCATAGGCACCACATCACAGAAAACATAATCTTCATATTTCCCTATGGAAAAACCCACTTCAACTTGCCTATTCACGGTCATCTCACCATCTTCACTAAGCCATTGAAGTTTGTAAATTCGCGGGTGTGGCTTAGTCTCCAAATTCATTTTTGAAACCAACCGTGCACTAGCCACGTTAGTGCAACTCCCACCATCAATGATTAAAGAGCACAACTTCCCTTGAATGAGGCACCTTGCATGAAAAATATTTTCTCTTTGACAATCATCCAATTTAACTGATTGACTACCCAACATCCTTCTAATCATGAACAAATCTCATTCTAACTCTCTTTCATCTTCATGCTCATTTTCATCACTAGATGGAGAATCTGAAGAAGATTCACTAATTATTTCTCCATCCTCCTTAAGTAACATAGTCTTCTTAGTGGGACATTGAGAGGCTATGTGACCTCTTCCCAAACATTTGAAACACTTAACCTCACTACTCCTTGTTTTCTTAAGTGCCTCATTAGACTTATTTTGATTTCTATGAGCTATAACATTGGAATTGCTTATTGATGATCCACCCTCCTTCTTATTTTTGTCCTTCCAACTAGGAGAGTGAAAATTAGATGAACTCCTCCTCATAGCACCCTTTCTCTTCAATTGTTGTTCCACCTTAGAAGCTTGATGTACTAAATCCTCCAACTCAACATAATTTTGCATCTCCACAACATCCCTTATATCACTATTTAGCCCATGTAGGAATCGGGCCATAGTAGCCTCCCGTGCCTCCATAACATTAGCCCTAATCATGAAAACCTCCATCTCTTTGTAATATTCATCAACACCTCTATTACCTTGTATGAGTCTTTGGAGCTTGTTGTGAAGATCTCTTTGATAATGAGAAGGAATAAATCTTCTTCTCATCAACCTCTTCATTTCTTCCCAACTTTCCACCAAGGGTTCTTCATATCTCACCCTTTCCCTTTGTAATTGGTTCCACCAAATGAGAGCATAATCAGTGAATTTCATGGCTGCCACCCTCATCTTTTTATCTTCTGTGTAATTATGACATGCAAACAGTTGCTCAATTTTTATTTCCCACTCCAAATATGCTTCTGGATCACTCTTTCCTTGAAAAGAGGGTATGTTCAGCTTTACTCCTTCAATTCTTTTATCTCTAACATCACCTTCATTATTTCTCCTTCTCCTCCTTCTACCTCCACCATCATCATCATTTCCTTGATTTTCTAGTTGTTCAATTCTCCCATACAACTCCTCGGTATGTTCTGTCAACATTCTTTGCATTTGGGTTGTAATGACATCAATCAATAATCTATTGTCACCCCCTAGAGGAGGGGTGCCACCACCTGCACCTGTCATCTTTCAGGTAAAAAAAAAGAAAGGACCAAACAAATGAAGTAATATAACCTCACCACTCTTCTCACGTGTTTGCACTCAAAGATGTACCATTCGTGTTTACTCTCAATTTGGCTTTTGTATAATATGCACTCTTGCCTTTTTCCACTCGTTCTCTGACGTATGGTTCTTACAAGAATCAAACAATCTATAGTTCAAGAATCACTTTCAACTATAGCAATCACAAGGAATAAAACAGAATTGTAGTACCAACAAAGGACAAGTAGCAAAGAACAATTTTACTACTAATAACAAGTAAGACAAATTTAAACTGTATGGAAAAACAAAGATTAGACAAAGACGTGTGACACTTAGGAATTTTATCAAACAACTAATGTGCACTGAAATTTAAAAAAATAACAACTGTCACACAAACACACACACACACACACACACACACACACACATATATATATATATATATATATATATATATAAATTTTTTTTTCTGATTCTTTTCTTCTTTTGATTCTTTTCCTTTTTTTGATTCTTTTTTTATTATTTTCCTTTTTTTATTCTTTTCCTTTTTTGATTCTTTTCTTTTTTTTTTGTTCTTTTCTCGAGAAAACTAATTTCAAACACAACTTTGATATATATATATATATATATATATATATATATATATAAATGAAATTCAATATCAAAATTGCATAAACAACAATTTTTTTGAACAAGTACACGAAACAAGTGACAAATGAACAAGTACACGTGAATAGTATAATGAACAGATGCGTGAACGAGTGACAATGAACAAGTGCTCGATGAACAAGTGCGATGAACAAGTACCGCTTTTGAACCCTGCTCTGAATACCAAATGACGACACTCAAATAGAAGGGAAACAATTTAGGGTTAGGTTTTAAGAGTTGATTTGATTAGAAATAGAAAACAGAAAAACATAAAAGATATCGTAGGCAGCACAAATATGAATATTTGATAAGCCAAGAAGGATCGCCACAAGAATTAGATAATTCTTGATAAGATCAAATGATGCAAGGAAGAACCCTAGCAGAGCAACAACTCACAAATTAATCTGAATATTACGTACGTTCATTCTGAATTTCCAAATGTTTAATACAACTTAAGTTTATGAGTTTGTCTCATTGTAGGAAATATAAACTTTGGGTCTTGGGTTCAAATCCCCACTGTAGCAAATAAAATAATAATAATAATAAAAACTAAATCTTTTAGTTGGGCCTCCTAGCTCTTCAAACATTCTATGCATGTGATAGGTCTAGACTCCTCCATGTTTGGATCTTTTAATAGTTGGACCTTTAGCAAATTGGTCACTTTGTATTGCAATGTCTCTTGTGTTTTTCTGAGCCTGCCTCTTGTCATATGTCCACCTAAGTCTTGGATTGGATCTTGGTCTTGATCCTTCTCGTTATAGGCTTGGGCCTTTATGTCCACATCATAAGTAAATATAAATTTAAAAGTTAATAAAGTGATTATAAGATGAATTTTCACGAGCAATCACAGCCTCTCCATAATCTTGCTATTACCTACCACCTATCATCATGAATTCTTCCTCCACTTTCTTCCATGCAACACACTCGATCCAATGACAACCTCTATGAATTAATAATATTAATCTTCCACCGGAGTAAAAGTTAACTATTTTGTTATTTTAAAAAAAGTTTTTCGAAAATATATTTTGTAAAATAAAAATAAATATATTTATGAAAATTTTAAAATAATATTTTAAAAAACTAATTTTGAAAAATAGTTGGATTAATTTTTATCCATTAAATGT